TACAAAAGCCACTAATTCCCGAGATAACTTGAAGATGTCGCTTTTCACGATGATTGGTACATCTTGTGACAAAAACTAAAAAAAAATTTTCGACTCGAAAATTTTTTTTACTATTCTTTACTATTTTATACTATCCGGCTTCAATTGAACCACTTGTACATCTTAATAAAAAATGGCCAAGTTTCTATGGTTGACTTTCAATTTTGAACAATATTTCCAAAAAGTAATAACTCTTTGAATAACCTGATAATGTAATAGACTGGTCTAGTTGAATCCTACATCGTAAGATGGGGATTATAATTTTTTTTCAAATTGCTTTTTGATTCTTATGAGTGTAAGCAATTTTGTTTCATAATTAAGTACAAAAAGTCGAAAGATTTCGAAGAACTTGATTTTGTAGCTTTTTTTGGATGACTCATACATCCTATGGTAGAAATTAACGCTTTTTTGATGTTATTTTTCAATTCTAAAGATTTTTGGACACCATATGTGTCCAAAAAGCAAGAACTTCCAAGATAAAATAAGGATATAGCGTGTTTTGGATGACTCATAAATCGAATAATGAAGAATAAATTTTTTTGAAGTTGTTTTTCGATTTTAAGCAATTTTTGTCCTAATAGTTAAGGAATAAAAGTCAATGACTCCTGAGATAACGTAACGAAGTAGCTTTTTTGGGTGACTCATACATCTAACAATAAGCAATTTTAATCTTACGATGTTACTTGGTGGTTCCATATATTTTCTTTTTTCGTTAATAGTCAAAAAGGTTATTAGTTTCCGAGATAATAGAACGAAGTAGCTTCATTTTGATGACTCATGCACCTTATGACAAAAATTCAAATTTATTTTATGGCTCAAAACTTTTTTACTTCAAAAGTAGATCCAGAAACGAAACGGTTTTTGAGATAACTTGATAGTCTAACTTCAATTGGAAAACTCGTACATCTTATGATAAAAAAATTCAATTTTGAACAATTTCCAAAACTAGTAATAGCATGGTCTGGGCTCCTTCATCTCGTGATGAAGATTAACTAAAAAAAAATTTTTAGTTCATTTTTTTTTCTTCAAAGAAAAGATTTAGATCAAGAAACTCTTAGTTTTTTTAGATAAATTGATGATATAGGTTGTCAAATGAAAAACCGCAGGAACGTTCTATTTTCAGTTTTTTTCTTAAACTGACACAGTCAATTGAAAATGTTTTTTAGTGTTGTTTTCAATCCACCGCGTCGAAATGCAACAAAGAGTGAGTTTTTTTTCAGCCTTTTAGATTAAAGATATTGACATAACCTGCGAATAGTCTTTAATTCGGTGATGTAGTAATAAAAACAGATAGGTTTAGTTTTTTGTGTTCTGTACACGCAGGAATTAATATGTTAGAGCTCATTTTCAGTTTACCTGGTTGAATAACATTTGTTGTTTTTGTGTTCAAAACTTCAGTGTAAGGGCTAAGTCAACGTGTTATCGTGTAATCATCGACACAACCTTCTTAATTGCACTAATCTTATATGCTTGTGCTTGTGATAGCCGGTACCTATCTGCAATATTTTGACTTCCCTACTTGTGTTTTCAAACCGTTGCCAAAAATATGTTTTTGCTCAACATAATAAGCTAATAAGATCAACCTCCGCTCTCAAACTGAACAATAAACAAAAGGTAAAACAATCTGATCAAATTTTTTTAAATTAATCCTTCTCTTAGATAAGCTCTCGTTTGTTTATTTGAAATTTTCGGGAAAAAAAGACTACTCGTACAAATAATGTTTTTGGCCCTAAGGACCAAGAAGAATTTTTCAAAACGATAATGCAGTTCTGGTAGGTTTCTGAGAACAAGTTATGAAAGCAACGTTATATAGAATGGAGATTTTCAATTTTAGAGCGAGAAGTGCCAAGGCGAGCCGTTTCTTGAACCATTCAAGAAAGTAGTCATCTTCCTTGAATTGGTCTTTTTACGGCAGTGCAAGCGAGATGATTTAGTCAATAAATATGTGGTGTGGCTTCAGATAAGGGAACAGCGAGTACTGATGGATAGATCTGCTTTGTGCGCACTTGTGGAGGAATACCCGGAGGCCGCTGAATTCTGCTAGTTTTCGGGCGACAGGGAGTCAGTGGTTGCACTCTGATGCGAGTCCCACTGTTTGAGTGGAGAAAACTTCTCGGCCAAGAAGGGGGCTCGATAAAAATTTTTTCTCTGAATTATAATTTTCTTTAATCTACCCTACCATCAAGTAATTCCGAAAAAAAGTTTTATCTAAATGCTCATCAACAAAAACAATTATTCAATTTTCAAAATATCCTTGTTTAAATTTAATTAAAATCATTTTATTAATACCAACTATTTTTAAGCATTTTAATTACTAGTAAGGCTTCATTCATATACAAGCTGTGAAGCAATAATCAGTTGTAACTCAAAGGCTGATTTGTGCGTACTTATTCCGATATAGCTTTGCTGGAAACATATTTTCTTGAACAGGTCTGACTGAGTTTTCACAACTCTTGCAACGCAGGATTTTCAGCTTTGAGAATCAACCAAAATTACTCTACAGTTCTTAAACCAAAAATCCGTAAGCACAATTCAAGTCTGTTAGCTTCCCATTTTTGCTTACAAAATAATTGCTCATCGAAAAAAGTTCTTTTACTTACACAGTTTTCAAGCATATTTTCTACGTTATTTGCCTTAACTTTCTTGTCATCACCTTTGGAATGAGTAGTGGTCAAAAATTCACATGTACATACCGGTAGCTGAAGGAAACAAAAAATCCCAGGTCGTAAGGTTGGATGATACTAAGAGTGCAGATTGTTCAACTCATGTTAGGCCGATCCGTAAAGGCAAGTGTTTGAATTGGCATTATGACTAACAGTTGTCAAAAAATAGATTATAACAAATTAAGATTATTACATGGTGAGCCTTGCTGAACAATTAACATTTGGTGTCCATTATGACTTTATACCCAATGGTCATCCATATATGACAAACTCCAACCCCCAGTATTCAGTGTACTATATGCATAGTAGTTTTTCTATTTCAAATGCTGCGAGAAACTTAAGCATGACTCGAAAAAATCCATTCGAAACAATGTTAAACTTCTGTGATTTGACCGTGTTGCACATGTTGCTTTTCCATGCTTCAACTTTTAAATGGAATTTAAAAAAAAGGAACGAACTTGCATATGCAACTGCTCAATTTGCAAAACAATAACAAATTAATTGAAAAACTTTTTCAAAGTCTAATTTAAAGAAAACTCTATCAAAACAACCCATGGAAAAGTGTCTTGGATGTAATTTATTAATATAACTCATGTGATAACAAGGCTATTGCAATCGGGTACAAGCCTTTTTTTCCTGTAAACATTTTTGTCCATAGTTTCAGCATGCATGCGAAACATGCCATGCATGCAGTATGTGCGTCTTATATTTGCGCTCCTTGGTCAATTACTCACACTGTGCAGCCTAAATAGTATTACTCCAATCCACTCGCAGTTCAATTTTTTCTGACATTTGGTATTTTTTGAACATTTCGACTTCGTCGCTCTCGGTTTTCTTTTTGTCGGCTTTGTTTCCATTTTGTTTTTATCACCCAACTAAATCGCTTATTTGAAATTTTTTATGAAGTTTTTTTTGACTATATAAATTTATTCAGTGTTCTGATTTTTTTGATGTGTTTTGACTCTTACTATACGTTTGAAATGAATTTGTTCTGTCACGCTTGTTGTTGTCCAATCTAATACGTTAGGTCGATATCGATCGGTTTCCTCTTTCACATCGGTTCCGGTTCCTGGTGATTTGAACCGAACGGTTCTCGGTTCCTGTACAGAAATTCGGTTCCAATTCCTCAAGAAATAGGGTACCCGAAATCAGTGCATCGTATATATTACTTGTATTTGAGGTCAAAGGGTCTTACTTAATAATTTCCCATTTTGAGAATGCGCTAAAAATGTACTCAAACAAACGTTATCGCACATTCCGTGCATCTTCAGGTTTTAAACTTCTAATTTATCTATACAAAATGATCATAGATCAAAAAAGTGTCATTAACATCATTGTTTCAAAATTTAAAAAATTCAACCAATCACATCCTCAAAAAAAGTTACTGAAATTATGTAACAACTATCTTGTAACAATTTATTCATTTAGTCACAAATTTCTGAGAGTTTCACCTTTTTTGTTTTACAATTTCATTTTGTCACTAATTTTATGCACATGAAAGGTATTTCAATAATTTTGTTTTGGCCAGAACAGCTCCCTACTTCTAAATTCGTCGCGCGTAATAATTGGCAGTCTCTCTTTTCTAATGTGCAGCGCCTTCAATGTGAGTAACTTAATACTGCTGGACGCCTGGTCGATTATTTTCCAATTAAACACCGACTTAAGACTCTCACTACCACACTGCCCTAAATGCTGCATTTAATTAATTTTCCTGTTTTTGTCAAAGCTAATTTGTAAATCCAATAAAGCCAATTTCCCGTTTGTGTTTCCTGTCTCTATCGTGAACTGTAAATTTGGATGTAGTGATTTTGCTGCCCGTAGCACCTTTTCAGGATCACCCTTCACTGTTCTCATATATATCGTCAATACTTGTTGTTTTAGCCAGAATTTTTCTATAGCTTAGTACCAGAATCAAAAAAATCTGGCTAAACAAAAAATATTGAATTATTTTACATGTTAGCATGAAATTAGCGACAAAACGAAATTGTAAAAACGTAAAAGGTGAGAACTCTCAGAAGTTTGTGAGTAATTGAATAAAATTGTTACTTAATAGTTGTTACATAATTTCAGTAATATTTATCAAGTTGTGATGCAGTTTTTGTTACCATGAAAGATTTCATCTGATTACTGCCCGGATGCTTTCAGTAGTTTGATTACTGTTGAATGAATTGAAGCGATCATTCGATCTCGATGCATTCTCAGCCTCTAATTTGCTTTGACTTGTCCAGTAACCTGCAAGTCTTTGAGCTTTTCTTGAACGTTTTTTCCTTGTACGAAAATGTGGATTTTTTCAGGCTAAAATGGAAACAAGTTGTAGCGGTGACCAGGACTTCAAACTTGACCAATGCAGCTCATCGTCAGCTATTGATGAGATGAACTTAGATCCTCCAAGTGTTCAGTTTGAACCAGAGGAAGTGGAAGCGGCACAGATGGCCAGAGAATTAAGAGACAACGCCATTCAAAACGTTCTGAGCTCAGATATCTACTCTCCTTTGGAAACACCACTAACTACTTTTAACCATGTAAGCCCTATTATCGGGTTAAACGTTGCCGCGGATAGCTTGGAAGCTTCACCAATTCATTCAGAACCTATTCAAGTCGCGCCCTTTTCGCCATTTTTTACTTTCTCGCCGTATACTCCAACCCCAGTTGCATCAGCCGCTGAGTCTGTTCCTCATGTGTCTCTAAGTGCTGAAAGCTCTAATGCTTGTGCTTGTTCTCTGCGCAATATAGGAATGTCAAATGGCTTGCCGTCATCTTCAAACTCAACACGGCTCTTGCCTCAAGTTGGATCCTTTGCTCACGATACTTGTAGGTGCATTCGACGGCCAATGTGCTCTGATTGCAACAAACCTATCCCTGAAAACCATTGTAACTGTCGCCACAACACCTGCTCATCATCGCACGTTCCTTCAACCAGTACTGTACATCATGACAACTCAAACGACGACGACCGCTTGTCTCCGTTACGCGTTGCGATACCTCAGCGTTGCAAAACAGGTCCTCTAAGTGCCCCTATGGACGTATGTTCTCATAATTGCTCTTGTAGAAAAGCGAGAAGCGTTGGTCCACTTTTTCAGAGCTTACAAAACCAATCTTCAGCGGCTCAGTTTTTTACCGAAGACCAGCCGGAGGCTGAAACAGCTGGCGATGAGCATTTGAATGACACGGATACTTCATCTGCGCCACCACCCGAACCGTTAAATTTGAGTCTGCGCGATGGGGGCCCGCATAATATAGTTGATGAAAACTCAAGCCATTTGTCAAGGGATGAGAATACATCTGTAAATACAACTTTAGAGCAAGGAAGTACAGATATCGAGGAGTTTCCTAATCGCAAACGACCCATTGAACCTGAACCTGCAGGGTCTTCTAGTGCAACTAGCTCCTCGGTTAATCATGAACTTGGTCATCACATTGCACGTAAGATCCATGTTAAAGACAAAGTGTATCGCGAACGGGAAACAAGGCCCACGCAGAGCGATAATAGACCGTTTCACTCACGACGAAGAAATCAAGAATTTTTGGGACAAAATCAAGCATTTTCTGGACACGTATCGCATGGGTATAATACACGAGGAAATCATAGAGATTTAAGGAATAGAAGCAATGGCACATTCTCAAGGTCAGAATATGCAACTTCCAATGCTCCTTTTCACCAGAGAAGATCCAATAACAGGGTAACAACTAGTTCTTCATCATCAGCAACACAGTCAAGCAGTGAGACAACCCCTGAAACAACATCGTCAAATCGAGATTCTGCTCCTTCAAACTGTCTTTATCAGGGTGGTCCCAACCAAACAGTTACAGCATTGCCTCCAGAAGCAAGAAGACCTGTTGCAGCACCACTCTACCCACAACCTCCTCCTCAACCTCCATTTGCCCATCAGCAGCTCTACAATCAGCAACAACAAATCCAAGAGGAGTACAGGCGTCAATTGCAAAGAGAGATGGCATTCCTGGCTCCACCACAACCACATGTCACACATCAACCTACATCCCGATTTTCTAGTCAAGAAAGGTTAGCACAGCAGTCGCACGACCAAAGATCGCTGCCCTTCTCATCTCGCCGAACTCAAGAAGCTATTAATCAAATCCAAGCTGCTCACCAGGCGGCATTAGCTAGTATGCCTAATCTGCAATTGGGTTCTGCCAATATACTTCGGAATCTCCAAGATCAGCAATCGCAGGCAAGAGCGGTGGGCTCAGCTTCTGCGGCTATTGATCCCCTGGGGCTTGCCGCTCAGTATAATATGCGGGCTTCCCAGTTGGCACCTCAATACTTGCCATTTGAGTTGCCAAATGTTAGAAACTACAATCCAGTGACAGCGGGTCCAGCAGATCCCAGATTACCGCCACCATTAATTAGTCCTTATTTCAATTTCCCTCATGCTCTCCAAGTACCGTTCTTTGCGAACTACGATCCAGTGCTACCGCTAAGTTTTCCAGCAACGTCGGCCGCTGCGACGCCCATCTTGCCAATCACGCCAGTTATGGAGTTTTTACCATTACAACAGCATCCTCAAAATCCAGTCACCATCAGCCTCCTAAGCAATGCCGCCCGATTTATCAGTGTGAGACCACCGCCTCTGGAGCAAATGAGTCGAGGTGCATGTCAGCAAGTGATCGAGCGGTGTACGCTGCCATTCAAGTTTTCTCAAATCTGCAAGAAGGTAGACAAACCAGAACCGAAAGTGAAACTGGACAAAGCAGAAGCAGCGGCTGCGTCTTCGAAGATCGACGATGATGACTGGGAGCGCTGTACTGTCTGTCTGACTGAGTTTGAAAGCGGAGAGGATGTAAGACGTCTTCCATGCATGCATTTGTTCCATACTGGATGTGTGGACCAGTGGCTGAGAACAAACAAGCGATGTCCAATTTGCAGAGTAGACATTGAGGCACAGTTGAAAGATTTCGAAAACTCATCTCAAATATCGCCTAATGCTGCAGGGCCCAGCACCATGTCAGCTTGCTCAGCCATGGTGTAACTCTAACTTTGCTTGTAGTCTGGTTAAAATATTTGGCGAATGGTTTCCATAAACAGCTTTAGTTGCCGGTAGAGCTATAGCTTTAAATCCTCGAAAAAAAAATTCTGTTCCAATGCTATTTGCTCGTTAATTAGTTTGTTTCTATAAAAATAGAGTCCCCTTGTCCAATTTAAGTTTTGTATTTATTCGTTCTAAACAATATTAGACTAACAATCCAATAAAATTATTGTCTATCCATGGGCGCTCTGAGTATTTTTTTAGCTATTTACTTTTGCGATAACTTTTGCAAATGAGTTCTAGACTTTTTCCGTAAAGAGCCTTATTCTTAATTTGCGCGTTAAAATTTAACGTGTCTCAGCGTGCATTATGATAAATTCAAATTCAGCGAATCATTCTGCTTCTGTAGTGCTATGGTAGTATCCATGTTTGACAACGTTGTGGATTTCTGATCCGGCCGGAAAATGTTTTTTATTTTCAAACTGAAAGGTTTTGACTCAGATTATTGTCTGTCAGTTTGCAAAGTTTCTGCGGAACAGATTTTTTTGATGACTTGTTTTAAGCATGCCGAATGCCTTCTATAGGAGTTAACTGAGTTCCACGATTTAGTCGGCATTTATTTGATAAAAAAAATTTATTTGTGTAGCGCAAGTGACGCGAAGCTCGGCTTCGCCTCTGTGTAATTGATGTATACTTGATATTTTGTTCTGAAGCATGAATGATTACGTGTACTTACTACTACTAATTAGAAGAAGCATTATTTGATGAAGTTTTATAACTGGAACCCAAGCGTCGTATAGGTTACTTTTAGCTCAATGGCATATAACTGTTTTCACCAGCTTTCTAATTACAAAAACATTCCTAGCGTTCGCTTGTGTTCATCGGGCGCTTCTTTGCCTGTGCTAAAATATTGACAGGGTTTTTCTCTGGTAAATTTGATTTCTCAAGTTTATTGTAAACAAATAATCGCAGGTGTTTTGGTTGTTTCGGCCTTCGAAGAAAATGATGGAATATTTGTGCTTGGGGTGGTTTTTTCAGACAAATTTTGATTTACCAACCAGAAGTTTTTGACGGAATTTTTTGTACAGTGTGGAAGCAGGGTTGCATGATTAAAATCAACTTGATTTAAATCAATGATTGAAATCGGATTTTAATCGTAGAATAAAAATCAACCCTTGGTGTTATCCTGCCGAGTGCCGCGGTAAACATACAACCCAGCTTGCAGTTTTTACATTGATTACGTACTTCGCTCTTCATAGCATACTTTTAACTGGAAAAGTTTTTCAGCACTTTCGGATTTATCCATTCCAGTCTCAGAAATTGACTGGGAATAGAAAAATATGGGTAACTTGTGTTCTTCTTTCAGATGCTGAATCAGTAATTTTGCGTAAATTAATTGATTCTTGAAACAAAAACCTTTCGAATAAATATCGAAAAAATCTAGGTAAAATAAAAAAAATCGGATTTAAATCAATCGAGAACATACATCAGATTTTTATGCAACCCTGTGTGGAAGCCAATGATACCTCGATTCAAAATGGAAAAAAAATCATCTGTTTTCCTGCCAAGTTATTTGAAAGTTATTTGAAATGAAGGGTTTGAAAATTTCCAACTTGGGATAATGAAGTCAGTCACGCTAATTAATGGGTTTCTATTTACGCACAGCGTAAAGCCGCAAATTAATCAGGCTCAAAAGTCATCACAAATTGAATTGAGTAAAAGAAGCTAATTGGTCCAAAGGTGATACTAGATGAAAAGTTAATCATTTTGTACTGCGCGTGGGAGGAAGATTTTCAGAAAATGACGTTTACAGTTTTTTAATTCATTTTAACAAAAAGTTTCTTCGGATACCATTAAAGGCAGTCGGAACATTCAGATTTTCCACCTGATTCGAGCAGTCTCGGAAATAGTTTTCTTTCAAATAATTTACTTGTTGTTGATAGTGTTGAAATAATAAACTAAGTAATAGACTTCAAATTCTCAAAATTTTATCGTGCTGTGCAGTAATGTTTGGTAGTTAAAATGGATAAACAGCTAAATTACTTGATACTTATCATAATATATCTTTCATTTCTATAAAAGAGTTGAAAAAAAGTTCGTAATTTTTTTCTTTTCGAAAAGCTGAAAAAAGAAAGACAATTGGTTCAAGAAAGATGCAAAAGTATTGTGTTATGTTACAATTTTACTGTGTTCTGGTGTCTGAAATTAGCAGGTTTAGTTCCGCTGATAAAAAAATACCTGCCTCAGCTGATGAGTAGAATGTATTTTCAGAATTCCTTTTTGGCCTGTTTTTGCACAAATTTGCCTGCGGCGCCAAAAATTGTGTCAAATTAGGGTCCTAGTAGTAATTTGGGAGAGCTCAGACTCAGAAACTCAATTTGGTTGACCTTAAAAAAGGTGAAATTTCTAGATAAGGTATTCTTAGATAAGTTATTTGCCTGAAAGTTATTTGCTGTGAATAGTGGGTCGGGACTCTCTTGCATATAATCTAATCTTCATGCTTTTTGTGTTGTATTTACACAACTCAACGCCTGTGGTGAACTATGCGTATGATAAATTTGCTTGCGTATAAATCAGCGCGCAAGAACAACTGAAAGTCAGGGTAGTAATTGAGACTCGGTCTGGTTTTCTTCTTTAGGTTAAGACCATTTATCCTTAAGGGAAAGGACCAGCATACGATCTGTACAGCTCATCAGGGCTAACCGCTGTTGTGCCCCTGTTTAAGAACTACATGCAATTTTTTGGTTATTTATCTGGGCTGGGTAATGTTGCTTCACCTTCAAGCAAGGAGCACAGATCATGGTGGGCCTCGATCATCCGACCTTTCGATTGAGAGGCGGAGACGTAACTACCACTTCACCACCGCTCCCCTAGACAAATATCTGCTTTTTTAAATAAACCTTTATAAAAAAATTTCATAGACCACCTGACTTATATTCAATGCTCTGAGCAAAAAAGTGGAAAATATATTCAGTGTGGCCGCGGTCAGTCATAAATCAGTGCGAAGCGTGATCTGTCAGTGCCAGCGAATTGATATCTTTACAAAAAATTGATATCAGTGCAAAACAAAACATTTCACCGCACTTGTTTGCTAATCTATCTATATCTATCTATCTATCTATCTATCTATATCTATCTATACTATATTTAAAATTTAAATGCTAGTGACAGCTATCTCCCATGTTTAAGCTTAATAATTTTGCATGTTTAACAAAAGAAATTTTTCATGTTTAAGCTATATCATATATTGCAATGCTTGAGAAAATTTTTGAATTCGTTTTACGCAAGGTCATTAAATTTTCAGTAATTTTTTTCGAGGCCAAATTAAGTCTGTCTGTCTGAATACCTGCTTTTTAAATTAATTTGATTATGTCTGTCAACCCGTCTCCTAATTTTGAATTTGGTTTCGAAGATTTAGTTCAAAATAGTACTACTGTCAAACGGTTGCCTCCAATCTCTGTATCTTTATCTGGATTTTCGATCTTTTTTAAATTCTTTTTTTTGCATTTTTCTTACCTTTTTTTCTATCTTTTTTTATCATTTTTTCTATTTTTCCATTTTCTGTAGTTGGGTACTGTCAGGGTACTCTCAAGAGTTGCGAATCTTGCCTCCAAATATGACAGGCCATTTCCTTGTAGTTTTTTGATATATGACGTTTTTGTGATTTTTCAAAAAGTTTTCAGAAAAGTTAACGAATTTTTTCTTCAAATCTTGAAATTCCCAACCCTGTAATTCGGGGGCTATCAGATTACTCTCAGGTATTCCGAACCTCGCTCCAATTTTAACTGCTCAAATCCTTATAGTTTTCGAGATAGGCCTTTTTTGCGATTTTTTTTTAAATATTCAAAAAACTTATATTAATTTTTTTTCTTCAATTTTTTCCCAACTCTGTAGCTGGGTGCTGTCAGGGTAACTTTAAGGGGTTGCGAATCTTGCCTCCAAATTTGACTGCTCAATTCTTTGTAGTTTTTGAGATATGACCTTTTTTTGTGATTTTTTCGAAAAGATTTCAGTAAACCCAAACAATTTTTTTTTCAAAATTTCAAATTACCAACCCTGTAGTTGGGGGCTGTCAGAGTACTTTCAGGATTTGCGAATCTTGCCTTCAAATATGACCTCTCAATTCCTTGTAGTTTTTGAGATATGACTTTTTTTATGATTTTTTCGAAAAGATTTCAGTAAACCCAAACAATTTTTTTTTCAAAATTTGAAATTCCCAACCCTGTAGTGGGGGCTGTCAGAGTACTCAGAGGGGTTATGAATCTTGCCTCCAAACATGACTGCTAAAATCCTGATAGTTTTCGAGATATGAGGATTTTTTTTCTATGATTTTTCAATTAACTTAGGTTTCGAAAAATTCTCAAAATTTAAATATCCCAACCCTGTAATTGGGTACTGCCAGGGTACTCGCAGGAGTTGTAAATCTTGCCTCCAACCAAATATGACTACTCTTTTAATTTGATTTTTCGAGACTTGTTTTTTTCGAGATGACGGAAAATAGGATTTAAAAAATTAATAAAATATCAAATTACCAGTCATGTAATTGGGTGCTGTCAGAGTACACTAAAAGCCTGCAGATATGGTTTCCAATGTGTGCAGTTTTTCATGAGTCAAAAAGAAGTCAGTATTTTTCTTGTTTCCTTGCGTTCGTTACTCCTTTCACCTGTCAGTTGGCTATGTTTTGAAATTTTGAGGGGATGTCAATCGATTGGCCGGAGCCGGTCCCATCTTGAGGAGGCGGATGACTCTTGGACCTCTCCAACTGTGACCGAAGGGAAATTCGAATGCACTCCCTCGTGTTGAGAAATGCTTGCCTTACCCCACTCGGACACGATTGCTCTTCGGCTAGCTTTCATGCAATTTTTGTGTTGTATAGCTAGTAATCTCAGTCTCTGCTTCGCCTCTGCGTTAAAAATTAATCCGTGTGTGGTTCCTTTGAAGGGTTCTGCTATTGTGAAGTTCTCGGCATTGCTGTTCTTCAGTTTTCTCGCTTCTGATTCAATTTTTTCTAATCGTTTGCTCGTTTTGTGTTTTAGTGTTGAAAAAAACGGGTTCGAATTTTTTGATTTTCCTACGCTAGTTTTGCTTTAATATACAATATGTGTTATTATATAAGTTAACTTTTTTCAACTAAACAATCATACATTTTTTTAGAATACTCTTATAGAACAACTTCATCCGTGCAATTAAAATAGATTTACTGCTGCCTGGCAAGTTTATTTAAGTAAAGCATTCAAATTAATTTCAAGGAAAACAATTCAAATTAATTTTTAATATTAAAATGTTTCAAATTGGTTTGTGTAATGGAAGAATCAGTACGCTCTCCAATGACAAAAATACGGATGGCGCGAAAACCATGATTATTTTAGTTTCAATAACGGGCTTTGATTTCCAGAATTCGAAGCTGAAAAGAAAAAGTTAACTATGGAACTATTTTTCTCTAATTGGGTTGGTTTTATTACGCTTGCGTTTAGCACGCATTATCAAATCGGAATGTAGGCTTCAATTGAATCACTTATTCGAGTTTAATTAGTACTGATCATATAGGCGATTTTTAAGATGCAATATAGTTGACTTGCTCAATTTCATGTAAATTCAAGTTTACTACTGGGCGGGTACTAGTTACTAGTGTCTTTTTTTTTCGTCTCAGCTGGTGTCTGCTCAAAATTGATCGGCCTTGTTTCCGCTTCGTAAATTTTGCTCAGTGACTAATTTGACTTTCAAATGTTTTGCTTGACTTCCTGTTTGATAAAAACAGGTATTATGAAAATGTAAGGAATTGGGTTTTTAATTTTTTTTGAGACGCTTTGGAAAATTTGATACTTTTTGCCAACCGATTCTCAAAAGAAGGTATCCAAAGAATTACTTATTACACTCTTGTGTGTCTGCATACTCCCCTGGTATCTTTTTTTACCCCTTTCTCTAAAGTATTCGAAAAATTCTGGGGAAATATTTAACCAATATTTTTAATTTTTTTTTCGTTTTCTCAAAAACTATCCCACCAAATCTGAGATTCTGGTTTCATTCAATAGAGCGGACTTAAAAAGCTCCCCTCTATGAGCGGCTACGCCCGAACTTTTATTACACAAATTATGTCCCTCGGAATAATGAAATTTTTAATTTTTTGACCGTTTTTTGAATTTGAAACTAGGTGTTCTTCATCGACCCTAGGTGTTCTTCATCGAGTCGCACAAAAACCTCGGTTTACCTA